CAACAGTGGCTTCCAGAAATACAGCAATTGGAAGTTACTTGTAGATTTAAACAGGAGGTTTCAGTTAGCAGGAACTCAGATCTTGCATCAGCCGAGCACAGCTCCAGGCAGGTAGACCTGAAGACAGTTTGCAACCTCTTAAACATGCTTCTCTCTTTTTAAAGCCGATGAGCCAGATTCAAGTCCAGGGACACCTTAAGAGGTCAACAAGATTTTCGGGGCATTTGCTTTCAAGAGCCAAAGCTTACTTCTGTCAGATGCAAGTAGGGATTTATCTTTCCTACTTGTGACTGATGAAGGCACTTTGACCCTTGAAAGCAAACACCCTGCAAAATATTGTCGGGTCTCTAAGGTCCTCCTGGATTCGTACCTGGATGTTCTGCAGAGCGACACAGCGCTCCTCTGACACTTAAAGCAGATGCTCTGCAAGTGGCCGTGATTGAGGGCTGCTTCACACGTGCATGCTCATCACACAGTGACAAGCATGTGTGTGGAAATGAACCTGCGGTGGCTAACCCGAGTGACGTGCCACCCAGGGACAAATGCTTTCGGCAGAGGCAGTTCACACATTTAACTGCCGGTCGTGCAGAAATCAAACAATGTCCGCGCACGTGGGAACCTACTCGAGGGTCGCTAGGGCCAGTGTTCCCTCTAAGCTGAGCTAGTGTGAGCTAGCTCACAGTTTTCCAGCCTCCGGCTCACATGTTTTTGTCTTGGCTCGGGAAGGAGGGCTCCAGGGCAAACTAATTCATGCAGTGGCCCAATCGCTTGCTCACACCTTAAATGCCAGTCGCTCACCAAGTAGGACTTTTGCTCACAGGACTCCACAGCTTAGAGGGAACACGAGGCCTGCAGCAGATTACGAGTGGGAAGGCAGGATGTGAAGCGATGAATTTCAAGACCTGCTCAGAGCCCCACTAAGGCTCCGGATCCTCTAAGCAGCAAGGAGGATGGGCCCAAATGCCGAGTTCCCACACTGGCACAAGAAGCCCTGGGGCAACCTGAACAGGGCCTGGATGTATTTCCCCCACCCAGGTTTGTATCCTTGCAAATACGCTGCAAGCCTTCCATCTAGGGGACCCCAGAAACCAGAAGCTGGATGAGACCACAATACTATCCACTGAAGGCACGTTTATTGTCTCAGTCTGTGGTGAGCTTATTGATTTTAATTGGATTGTATTTTATATGAAAATCTACTGTAACTGCAGGTCTTAATTGTAAATTATGCATTGTTTTAACTGCACATCTGCGTTGTTGTAGACCTATATGCTGGTAGGTACCGACCCTGAGCCTACATCGTGGGGAGGGCGGGACATAAGCCCAACAAAATAAATAAAATAAATAAATAAATCCCCATCTCCCGATTGACTGGTCATGGGGCAACCGAGGATCCCGAGGGCTGAAAACCAGGAGCGCTTCTTTACCCACCAAAGGCCTGGCATTTGTGCCCCATTCATATAAACGGTGGCTTGTCTGAGGACTGAACACAGAAGATCTTCCCCTAGTAAACTAGCAGGCACTGTTTATTATTACTGCTGGTTGCCATAGTGATATTATTCCAGTACTTTGGGTGGGGGGGAGAGAATAGGATTCGTACAAACCTCCAGAACGAGCTACCACTGAAAGTGAGAGCGCTGCTTCCCTTGAGTAGTTACACTCACTGCTCTGTGTTCTGCATTTCTTATAAAGCAGGACACGCTGAGCCTCTTTAACCCTAAGAGCCCCTGGAGAACAGCCTGGACTCAGCCTAAGTGGAAAACAGGGGCCTATTCCAGAAAAATGAAAGTTAAAAGGCCGGGACATTGTGACATATTGTGAGAGCACTCCCCCCCCCCCAATAGGTTATCCCATACGCAACGGCCATCTGAAGTTACGCCACCATTTATTGGGGACCCCATTTATTGGGGAACGTTGAAGTAAGAATGGATGCTGCATTCAACGACAGATACAAAATATTGCATCTGGCATCTTTTCTGTCCTACAACAGGGACTCTTACCATTTGCCTGTTAGGTTTCAATATCTGACAGCATGCACAGCGTGAAAAGAGGGGAGGGGGCGGAAAGATAAGACTAGAAGGTAAAATCCACGTACAATTTTGAGTGCTGTAAAGACACATAGACACAACGCAGCTTCTTGCTTGGAATACTCCAGTGGGGTGAAAGTTAACAGAATCACAGGATCACAGCGCCGGAAGGGGCCCTACAGGCCGTCTAGTCCAAACCCCTGCTCAGGGCAGGATCAGCCTAGAGCATCCCTGACAAGGGTTTGTCCGGCCACTGCTTCAAGACTGCCAGGGAGGAGGAGCTGACCACCTCCCCAGGCAGCTGATTCCACTCTTGCGCAACTCTGACTGTCAAAAAGGTTTTCCTACTATCCAGCCAGTACCTTCCCGCCCTTAATTGTGAGTCCTCTCCTCTGCTGCCAACAGGAACAGCTCCCTCCCCTCCCCTGAGTGACAGCCCTTCAAAGACTTCAAGAGAGCCATCATGTCCCCCTCTCAACCTCCTCTACTCCAGGCTGAACATTCCCAAGTCCCTCAGCCTTTCCTCACAGGGCTTGGCCTCCAGGCCCATGATCATCCTCGTTGCTCTCCTCTGTACCCGCTCCATTCTGCCCACATCCTTTTGGAAGTGAGTCTTCGAGGAGGAGGAGGAAGAGGAAGGAGGAGGAGATTGGATTTATACCCTGCCCTTCACTACTCAAAGGTGTCTCAGAGCAACTTACAAACTCCTTCCCCTTCCCCTCCCCACAACAGACACCCTGTGAGGTAGGCGGGGCTGAGAGAGCTCTTCACAGAGACTGCTCTTTTTCAAGGACAGCTCTTATCAGATCTATGGCTTGCCCAAGGTCATCCAGCAGCTGCAAGTGGAGGAGTGGGGAATCAAGCCCGGTTCTCCCAGATTAGAGTCCGCGCACTTCACCACCACACCAAACTGGCAGCTGACTTTCTATCCAAAACAAGGTCGGGAAGAAGGAGAACTAAGTTTCCTTTATGGCAGAGCTTAAAGCAGAGTTCTTCAGACCACCCCTGGCAGCAGGGGTGCAACGTCACATGCTGTCAGAAAAGTCGATGTCGTGGTGATGTGCGACCCAAAACTTCCACAGGGTGCTTCCAACTTGAGAACTCCCTTGGGATTACCCACAAAAGGGGGTGCCTGGATGGGGATAAGGTAAAATGGGGCATCCGGATTCATATGGTACTGAAAACGTTCCGCGGAGTGCCAGTGCAGCATCAGCACCTGAATGCATAACCCACCGTGATGGTGAAATATAAATATGGCCACCAGCACGGTGTAGTGGAGAAGGGAGAGAACCACCAGGGCGACCTGGGTCCAAACCCCCCCAAGTTCACAAAGCAAGCTTGGCCAGCCTGCAGCTCTCTCAGCCGAACCTACCTTCACAGGGCTGAGGAAGGTAGCATTGGGTGGATGCTGGGAGGGGACCATGTACACCATCATGAGCTTCTTGGAAAAAGGGTGGAAGTCCACTGGGCTATCAAACACGGTGTGTGCACTGGGATAGTAACTCAAGGCATTTCAGGGTTTACCCATCTCTGCCAGCAGTTTCGCTGACTACAGTGCATGGATGACTGCTGCCGCAAACTGGCTTTGCCATCAATCCACAAGCTTTAATGTTCGTAGTCTACCTTACCTGGCCGTTTCCCAGCAAAGATGTGTCTTCCCCCATCAGAAGGTAGGAACCATAGAAGAAAACAAACGCATGAACAAATCCCAAGAAGGTCCAGTAAAGGAAAGGCTTGAAGCCCAAGTGGGCATTTTTACTAATGTCTCTGTAGAGGGGAAAAAAAAAAAGAGGGAACGAGGTCTTTAACTTTCCAAGATCAGAGCCAGCTTTCCAACATTTCTTCTTCCTTAGCTACTCGCAATCGCTACAGCGGCTTAGGGCGCCTTCTTGATAGCTTTTTTGTCCAACCAAGCACTCGCTCATTCATATAGTGACTCGTGATGAGCAAGCATCTCCAGGCGGCCAGTTAAAGGAAGCTTTTGTGGATCGGTACCTCTCTCCCATCCCTGAAACTATGTCACAAACGACCACCATCAGGAGACTTAGGCAGACAAGCAGGCCTGCCGATGGCTTGCCTCCATTTGTTCATATGGACATATGTGCACATGGGGGTGGGTCGGTGGGAGGGCATCTGCTTGGCATGCAGAAGGTCCCAGGCCCAATCCCTGGCATTTCTGGTTAAAAGGACCAGGTGGTAGGTGATGAGAAAGACCCCAGCCTGGAGAGCAATGTTCCCTCTAAGCTGTGGAGTCTTGTGAGCAGAAATTCTACTTTGTGAGCTGTGAGCCAGCGATTTGGCTACTGCATAAATTAGTTTGCTCTGGAGCCATCCCTTCCTGAGCAAAGACAAAAATGTGTGAGCCAGGGGCTAAAAAACTGTGAGCTGGCTCACACTAACTCAGCTTAGAGGGAACACTGCCTGGAGAGCTGCTGCCAGTCTGAGTAGACGATACTGTGATGGGCCAATGGCCTCATTCAGTACAAGGCAGCTTCATCGGTTCAACAATATATAGCCAAAAGTTAAGCCCGCTGTATACGAGTAAGCCGTGCTCCCTCCAAGCTGTGGAGTCTTGTGAGCAAAAATTCTACTTTGTGAGCTACTGGCATTGAAGTTGTGAGTGATCGATTTGGCTACGGCATAAAATTAGTCAGCTCTGGAGCCATCCTTCCTGAGCGGAGACAAAAATGTGTGAGCTGGAGGCTAAAAAGCTGTGGGCTAGCTCTCACTAACTCAGCTTAGAGGGAGCAGTGCTAGGAAGTATTCGATTTCCAAAGAAAATCTGCGAGACTCACGGTGCAATCCTATGCAGAACCGCTTCCATCTTATACCAGTGATTTTGGTGGGCTTGGAATGAAGCAAATCTGTGTTGGACTGCACTATTAGAGTAGCAGCAGTTTCTCATGCATTGGAAAATTACGTGGGTACCCCTTCCTCTCTGGCATGGGGTGGTGACCTCAGGACATAAAGCGCTGGGGCAAAACACTGGGGGAGGGGAGTACCGAACACTTTCATTTGTATTATCCTCCATTCTTCTGCAGCTTACAACCTTCTCTGGTTTTCCCCTGCCTGGCTTTCCATTTGTCAAAACAGGACCAGTTTGCCTGATGCATTTGCAGATGTTACACCAGTGAAGGCATCTTCCAGCACAGCAAGTGCTGTCTTTCCAAGTTCTGAATCCCCTTAAACCACCGTAGCTTCTTTTATTTCCCTCGTGGCTTTTGATGCATCATGTTCAACCCATCCAAAGGGCAACAGTCAGCTCCCAGGGCTTCATCTGGGCCAAGCCTTAAATTAAAGGTAAAGGTAAAGGTTCCCTTGCTCGAAAGCCAGTTGAGTCCGACTCTAGGGGTGCGGTGCTCATCTCCGTTTCAAAGCCGAAGAGCCAGCGCTGTCCGCAGACGTTTCCGTGGTCATGTGGCCGGCATGACTAAACACCAAGGCACACGGAACGCTGTTCCCTTCCCACCGAAGTGGTACCTATTTATCTACTCGCAATGTCTTGCTTTCGAACTGCTACGTTGGCAGGAGCTGGAACTAGAGACGGGAGCTCACTCTGTCATGCGGCACACTCGGGTCTCGAACTGCTGAACTACTGACCTTCCACAGCCTGCAGTTCAGCGTCTTAACCACTTGAGCCACCGCAGCTTTAATTTAACCTACCCCTTTAAAATTTAACCTTAATTTAATTTAACCTTAAATTAACCTATCCTAAATTCAATTTTCACTCACACTCCTTCTCCTTAAGTTTTCAGAGCATAAGAGGGAATGGCTATGACTGACGATCCTCATTGCATGAGTCTACTGAAGAAGCCTGCCCTCAGCCGGGATGTGCCACAAAACTGAATTTTAATCTTTGGCCCCCAACCACCACACTCGGCTAAGACCGTGCTGGGCTCCGAACACTACATTTTGCCTCTTCTGTGCCTTTACCTACGAGAGTGAGACTGCTCTACATTGTAGGGAAGGGAGAAAGGGCCACTTTTTAGTGTTCTCCAGCACAGGCACTGTATTAGGCAGCACGTGAAGCGGAATTTCTGGACATAGGCCTTACGCAGAGTGGGCGAATGCTTTCATTTATGTTTCCCACCACTCCTCAGCGGCTTACAACCTCCTCTGGTTTCCCACTTGGGAACTCCCTTGGGATTGCCCACAAAAGGGTCAAAACAGGATCAGTTTGAGGCATTTTATTTCTTTTAGTCAATTTCTAGGCTGGCTGGCACCCAGCATGGGGCCACGGAGGCAGCTCACAGGTATCGTGGAACATAGAAAAAATATCATTATAATAACTAACCGAAGGATACTATGAAAGACCAACGTGGTGCCTTCTAGCAGTCGATTCAAAGGCCTCACAGAACAAGTTTGGTATTTACTCCGGGGGTGTCCCCAGCTTAGTGCCCTCAGGCACCACGGCACCTTCAGACCCCTTTTGTGGGTGGGGCCACATGGAGCTCTTTGTCCAGGAAGCCTCTTGATTGGCCACTGGAAAACCTATCGGCTGTGCAGCTCAAAATAACGTTTTCGCTGCACCTGCCACCAGTGTCAGTTTTATTCGCTCTCACTCATTTCTCCCGGTGTATTTTTTTTTTTTTTAATTACCCCTCTTCTTCGTTGTACTTAGACTTCCTGGTGACCTGGAGTGGCTCAGACTGAGTCAACTGAAACTGAATCCAACAAAGACGGAGGTCCTGTGCTTGAGTCGGAGCGGGTCGGGGGTAGGGATCCCACTACCGACCTTCGATGGGGCGCCTCTGGTGCCAGCGCCGCGGGTCAGGAGTCTGGGAGTGCTCCTGGATGCCTCTTTAACAATGGAGGCCCAGGTAGCAGCCACTGCCAAGGCGGCCTTTTACCACCTATGGCTGATCAGGCAGTTGGTTCCCTTCCTCGAACGCAACGACCTTGCAACAGTGATCCACGCGATGGTC